ACTGGCGAGAATCTGTGCTATCAGGAAAAATCTCCCTGGACTTCATGGAGATAATTGCCCTTCACAAGTGCTTCCAGAGCCCCTGTGCTGCTTGGATCTGTGCCCCATTACATTGTGTGGCTCTTGCTTGCTGGATTATCCATTGCCACCTGCTTTAGCCACTCTTGGGCTTTCTGTCCCATCCTGAAGTCCAACTCGGTGTCCACCACATGGTGAATGCTAAAGAAGTATTTTTTGAAAAGATCAGCCAGGGAAGCTTAGTGTGGGAAGGTTTTAAGAAAAAGAAAATGGTTTTAAAAGATTTGAAAGAGAAAATGTATCTGTTTTCATGAAGAGAATGGATGATATTCCAAATAAGGGAGAGGTAGGTGTACACTAGGAAAATGCTGTGCCTATGAATAGAGTTATATTGTTTTAAATGAAACAAAATGGTGATCACATACTGTATCAAGAAATGAAAAGTTGCTTTATAGACAATATAGTTTCACATATTAACTTGAGATTTTGTAGAATTATCTGCCTTTATTGCACATTTCCAGTGAATGTGTAGTAAGCTGTCAATATCAAGACATATGGCCTCAATTGTTACAGTGGGACTAATTTCAGCTCACCTCCAGAATTTTTAGAACAGTCTTCAGGTAGAGATAGACAAAGAGTATTGCCTCAGGTCATCTCATTCCTTGCAGCTATTGATGCAATCATAGTTTACTGAACAATACAATCTCTTCTTTAAAGTTACTATTGATTCCTTTCAGTAACTCAATATGTGCTGAGCAAATTCTGAAATAATTTAAGGGCTATAAAGATAGTCATGGAGTAAACAAAGTTTGAATGCCCTGACCATGTTTTATAAATGCCTAATTAAAAGCAATACTGTTGTTGCTCTGTTCAGTGTTACAAGTCTAGGGTCCTTTTGTAAGTGCTCCAGACCAAATGTAACTTACCTGTAGTGGATAAGCATTTGGAAGTTACTTTTACAGAGATTTTCCCAGGGTTATGAAAAATGTGTATGTTTTGAACTACATATAATTGAAACAGAAGGGTAAAGCTGATTTTCTGGATCACCTGTAACCACAGCAAATTCTCTTCTTGGATCACCATGCTGTTTGACTCCTTTTGAACTTTATGTAATCAGTGGACTGTTTCATGATTGTTCTGAGAAATGGCAAGGCTTGAGTGTAGCCTTATTGGATTAATGGTGTCTGCTCTTGGAAGGTTGCCAAGTGGTGTTTCACTAGGAACAGAGTTTTTTGTTAGACCTGTCCTTAACTGGTTGTGCTTGATGGTGACCTGAAGAAATTGGGTTAATTGAAGAATCTGGCTCACATCATTTCTGTTTTCAAACTGCCATTCTCTCTATAATACTTTTGGAGTGAGAATTTGAGCTAACATTCCATATAGCCTTGAGTTTTCCCTTGGTGTTTCCTTCAATCCTTTTTTCTTAAAATCCTAAAAAACTTTTACATAATTTTCCCAAGTACTTCATATCACCACTGCATAGGTTTTCCCATCTGGCCTATGCGCACATTCTGTCAGGAGGCAGTTACACATGAGGAAAAGATGGGGCAGCTTTTCAACCAGGCAGGCTCTTCATGCTGTGAAGGACTTTTTGACTGCTGCCTTTTAATATCTTAACATTCATGCTGTCTGAATCTAATCCATTTCTGAAAACACGTTGGATAGCAAATTTTCATATAGAGGAAGCTTATGTTTTATTATTTTAAATGGCAAAAATAATGTATTCTCAGCTCATCCAAAAGCCACAACAAATTTTCTCAAATATTACTAAAATATTCTTAAACCCACACATAACCATCCACCAAGGATTTAAACATAATGGAAAACATTTAAAACACCTACTGCTATACCTAATTATTTGTGTGCAGTACTCCATTATGGTGGAACAGGGCTTTTCAAATTTTGGCATGCGTCAGAATCAATTGAGGAGTTTATTAAAGCACAGATCCTAGGACCCAGAGTTTCAGAGAAAGTAGGTCTGGAGTAAGGACCAAGAGTTAGCTTCTCTAACACACTGCTGCTGTTGCTGATCCTGCTAGTTCAGGATACTGAGAGATGGACTGTTGTAGAGTATATGAATTTCATCTTTGTTCTACATTAAGTGAGTATTACAAAACATATAATTAACCATAATGGAAATAATATGTTCAAGATACTACAAAGGATGAATGCAAATTACCCTCAGAAGAATAAAATGAAATACTATGGCAAGTTTTAAATAATGGTTATTGACTAATGGGAGAGTTGCCTGAGCAGAGTCCGGTGACCAGTGGAAGCTTCAGTCACAGTTGGAATTCGAGGGTAAGTAAAAGAATGAGTGGAACAGTAGATGCCTCACATCCTCCAAGTCCAAATGCAAAGAACTGACAGGCAGCTTTATTGGCATGCAAGACTCTGGAAGTGGTGTGGCCCTGAACCATTGTCTGAAGCTATAGATGAAACAGCCTGAGGAGAACAAAAGCTCTCAAAATGGACATCTGTTCATGTTCTCTTTGCTTAAAGTAATACAGCTGCTGATAGCATAAGACACAGCTCATCATTGTATTTTTGGAATGTGGTTTTTCCTTTGATGTCATGATCATACTCACTTGCTATAGCAATGGTTTTTGTGGGTATGATGTACAATTTCTTCTGAAAATTCTGCATTGAGTATTCATGGCATCTCTTCTTCCCTTTCCCCTAAGTGATGATGAACATAAAGCTGAATGAGTTCTACTTACTTTTTTAATTTAATTTGTTTTTTGAGACAGGGTCTTGCTCTCTGGCCCAGGCTGGAGTTCAATGGAGCAATCTCAGCTCACTGTAGCCTCCACCTCCCACACTTAGGTGATCCTCCCACCTCAGCCTCTCAAGTAGCTGGGACTACAGGCATGTGCCACCACACCTGGAAATTTTTTTTTATTTTTTGTAGAGATGGGGTTTTGCCAAGTTGCCCAAGCTAGTCTTGAACTCCTAGCCTCAAGTGATCCGTCCACCTTGGCCTCCCAAAGTGCTGGGATTACAGGCATGAGCCACTACACTTGGTTCAGTTCTACTTTGTGAGAAGACATTTTCACTTAACAATTGGGAGTGCTAATCTGGATGTTGATGATGTACATCTAGAAAACATGTATCCCTATCAGGCAGTAGCTGAGATGGGCCTGCAACACAATCTGCATCCTCTTACCTGGGTTCACTTTGCAACTTAAACAGATTTTCTGGCATTCACTTGCTGATTTGCAATAGCAGATTTTTATTTCAAATGTTAAGTCTGGAATAAAAATACTTGCAAGTTGTTATAATGAGTAGTTAGGGAGTGAGAGTTCCGTAATGAAGGACACCTGGATAAATAAAAACTTCACTGTTTGGCAGACATAGGGCTGGGTACCTGGGCATACAGTGATTAACATAATAAGTATGAAGCTGCTTTCATGAACTTGTAGCTATTGAGAGAGAGACAATAAACAGGCAAATGAATGAAATCAGTACAGCATACGATACAGACTGAGAAAGGAAAATAAGATGCTGTTAGAGACAATAATATAGGAATGTAGAATGAGATGGGAACCCCTCGGAGAAGGCAGCATTTTGTCTCTGTTTCTTTATGGAATATTTGCTTTGAGTTTTCTACGGAAATGTTCAAAGTACAAACAAGTACCAAGAAGAAAATAACTACCACCCACATTTCCACCTTCTGGAAATAACCTGTTAACACCTTGGCATTGTTTCTTCCAATCAAAGTCGTAAAAGATCTATTTCACTGTTGTAAGGAGCCGTGGAGTTAATGGATACCTCAGAGTGGCCTGGCTCAATCTAGTTACTGTAAATATGGAGTAAAGGGAATTGAGAGTATTTTTTAAAAAATACCTATACTCAGGCCCCACTCTACACCAATTGAACCAGAACCTCTGCGCATGGGTGCTTTTTATACGTGCCCAGGTTCCAAACCACTATGTTGTTGAAGCACTGCCTTAAGGACTTTCCCTTCCACTCACTTGGTCTGCTGAGGGCTGAGGGAGGTCACCTTTTATGTCTATCGAAGCCCGAACCCTTCAGAGCTAGTGGAAAGAGCCTCCAAAGTACAAAGCACTTCCATAGAGAATGTGGGAAGAGCCATCCAGAGACAAATATCTCCAAATGGGGATGAAAGTCTCAGCTGCAGCTGCCTCCGCTGGTGATACTGTGCTGCAGGTCATCTGGGAGACAGAAGGTGCCACAGTTTAGAAGGCAGACGCTTTACTCTTTCGTTCATAAGCTTTATTAAAGATGCCCAATTTTTTAGCTAAGCAAGAAAAATATATTGATTCTACTTTCATAATGCAGCAGAAAAAATGCTACCCATATGTCTTATTGAGCTCAGGCTACTATAACGAAATACCATAGACTAAGTGGCTTAAACGATAGACATTTGTTTTTCAAAGTTCTGGAGGCTCGGAGTGTGAGATCAAGGTGCCACCAGACTCAGTTCCTGGTGAGAGCCCACTTCCTGGCTTATAGATGGCTATCTTCTTGCTATATCCTCACATGGCAGAGAGAGGAAACTCAGGAGTCTCTTCCTCTTCTTGTAAGAGTTCTAACCCCATCATGGGTGCCCCACCCTCATGACCTCATCTAAACTTAATTACCTCCTGAAGGTACTAACACTATCACACTGAGGGTTAGGGCTTCAATACATGGATTTGGAGGAAGGGCATAGTCAGTCCATGGCACCCTACAATGTCCTGAGAATCTGAATTGAAATTATTAGAAGTGGTAGGAAACCTTATCTTGGGCATCTTTGGCTAAAAATTACAGGGGATTGCTATGATAGGGAGAATGCCTCCCCAAAGATGCCCATGCCCTAATCCCTAGAACCTGTGAATACATTACATTACATGTCAAAAGGGGCTTTTCGGATTTGTTTGAGGCTATGAGCCTTAAAATAGAGAGATTAACCTAGATTATATGGGATCAGGATGGGGTGGCAAACTAAACACATGAGTCCTTAAAAGCAGAAAGCCTTCTCTGGCTGGGGGTAGAACAGATGTAATGTGACAAAAGGGGAAGTCAGAGAGACTAGAAGCATGAAAACGGCTCCGTGCACCACCACCAGAATGAAGATGAAGGAGGCAACATGATGGGGAATGCAGACAGCTTCAAGGACATGAGAGAGGTTAGTAGATTAGAGCCCAGGGGAAAAAAAACCTACAAAAAAAAAACCCATCTACAACTGCAAAAAAACTGAGTTCTAACAACAACCTCAGTGATCTTGGAAGTGTTTTTTTTTTCCCAGAGCCCCCCCAAAAAGAGCTCAAGCCAGCTGCCACCTTGATTTCAGCCTTGTAAGGCCTAGAACAGTGGAGCCCACCTGGACTTCTCACCTATAGAACTATGAGATGATAAGCTTGTCTTGTTTTAAACTGCCCAAATTTGTGGTGATTTTTACGGTAGCAATAAAAAATGAATATAACTGCCAAGGCAATTTTCAGCTATTACCCCATTGATAAGCAAATATAGTGACATTGACTTTGATTGTTAAACACAAACCATAAGCTGAGAGATGAGTGACCTGGCAAGTTTTGGTGGTCAATTTGCTCCTGGAACATTTAGCCTGATTTGGATAATGTTGTTTTCTAAAAGGTTCCGAAACACTATAAAGGAAAATGTTAATGGATGTCAGAAATTATTGTGTCTGGCCAGCCATGTTTTAAAAATATGACAAAGCTATGACTATTGCAAAAAAAAAAAGTTGAAAGGAAATACATGAATTTAGGAAAGAGATTTTACCATCATCAAGATAATTTTCTCCTATAATATAAGCCTACAAGAATAGTAGGAACTTTGGGGCAATTTATGTTCCTCCTTGCCCGTGGATGTTATGCTAAGCAGCTGGACATGTCCCAGCCTTTATGGTCTTCTCAAATTCCCAGCATCATATTTCTAGCTGCTAGTCAGGGGTCCCATTAGGAAATGCCTGCATTCTGAAATCACAGCATGATGCCTTCAAAGACTTCCTTCTGGGCATATTTTATTAGCTCCAACAACAGAAACCAACTCTACTTACCTTAGAGAGAAAATGAATTTATGGCAATTTATTGAATAGCTCATAGAATTAACAGGAAGGTTAGGAAACGAAGCCAGGCAGTTGTATTCACTGCCAAAATTACATCATAGCAACAGTCTATTAAAGAAGCCGCCTCTGAGCCATGGATGCTACCCTTGGCTCTGTCACCTTTGGATGCTGGCTACTGTGGATAAAGCTGCAAATAATTCTGAACTGTTCCCTATTTCTGTCTCCGGATGTGAAATCCTGAGTGAAAGGATGCAATTTTTCTCAGCTTATATAATATGCAAAGAAAAAAAAATCTAGGCTCACAAGGTTGGGAAAAATCACATATTTCAGTTTCCCTAGTCGGCGGCAGGACTATTCTCACCTCTGAAACTTACACTGTGGATCATTCCCAGACACAGAAAAAGGTGCAAGGTTTACTGAAGTCTCTACCCCTTTGGCTGGTCAACATCCCAGAAGACTTATCTTCTCATATCTGCAATGTTCCCACTTCAAATAATGCAAACTGCCCTATTCCCAAAGAAAGTAATCCAATATTTCATCAGTTACTTTTTGTAGCTCCTCATCCAAGATGTCTGAGGGATACTATTTCTGTCACCATCCCTTCTCAACCACCAGCTCAGTTATATACAATAATGGCATAAAGGAAAATGAAACAGAAATCACTCAAAATGTGAAAATATGTACATGGCACAGCAAGGAAGAAAATCTGAGTAGAGTCTGAAAGTCCTAGTTTCTACTCCTGATGATGAGTTAATTCTGACTTAGTTTCTTTTCACCGATTTCATTACAGTTACCTTTCAGCCCCATCTTGGCTGGCGGTGGTGATATGCTAGTAAATGTTTAATGATCAGATCTCTAGAAAAAAAGATTATATTCGTTATAAGTTTTACTAATGTAAAGGATATTTAGTGCAAAATTTACATCATAGAAACATTTATGATGTTCTTTATTACAAATTCCATAGATCCAAATGAATGTCAAAGATCACTTCTGGGCTGAGCGTGCTGGCTCATGCCTGTAATCCCAGCACTTTGGGAGGCCGAGGTGGGTGGATCACTTGAAGTGAAGAGATCAAGACCATCCTGGCCAACATGGTGAAGCCCCATCTCTACTAAAAATACAAAAAATTAGCTGGGCGTGGTGGTGTGCACCTGTAGTCCCAGCTACTCGGGAGGCTGAGGCAGGAGAATCGCTTGAACCTGGGAGGCAGAGGTTGTAGCCAGCCAAGATTGCACCACTGTACTCCAGCCTGGCGACAGAGTGAGACGCCATCTCAAAAAAAAAAAAAAAAGATCACTTCTGTTAATTTTTTTTCTCTCAACCCATGGGTGCAATTCAACAATGATTTGACAAAACCAGATAGCAAATGAAGGCTTGCCTACTGCCCAGTTTGACCAAGAAGTTACTCATATTAACTAATGAATATAGTTCTGACAAGGATATTGGTAGATAATTTTGTTTGTATTTACAAGTAAGATGAATGTAAAGAAATGAAGATATATGATGGAACTTCATTTGTTCATCAATGATATAAGTGACTGCTTTACAGAATCAGAAGAGTTTTCAAATATTGAAAGAATTTTTCCTCAAATTTTTGTGCTATCCGCAATTTAATGGCTACAGCTAGAACCTGGTTTTAAGTTTAATCTGCATTATTAACATTTTCTCCATCATTTTCTTTAGACAATCAACAAAACATATCGTGATTTAATTACTTTAAAAAATACAAAAAACAAGCCTTTTTTTTTAAGGCCAAGAAAGCTCAATTTTTTTCCCTTCAGA